GTGCTTTAAAGTGTACGTTTGATGCCTGTGTTGTAAATGAAAATTAAATAGCTCACATAGTTTCTGCCAAACGTTTAATATTTGAGCGCCAGCCCAGCATATACAAATATTCCAGTGAAATTCCTTTGAGCCCAACGTGAATGTGGGGAGTTGTCTAGCACGAGTATTATGATTGCAGGGTGTGCTTCTCTGTCATCTGTTTGTTTGCTCGTCTTCATGTCACAGTGGCAAGTTAGAGTATAAAAGCCATCAGATATTATCCACATGCTAATGCACACATGTTAAAGCTGCAAATGGTTACTAGTTTGAATTCCTTCCAGTGAACCATACAGAGCAAGATGTTTGAAGGCTAAATATGTTCACCTCTTAAATCTAAAGCGTTCAGTGTTAATATTTGGATAATTTGTGCAATATCCAAAACCAGGTTTTTGGCATCTTTGTGCTAAAACAAAACAGTCCAAAGGTGTATGGAAACTGTTTAGAGCCTCAGGGGCCACCTCGGAGCTTTTAAAAAGGGAATGATGAAATAGTGTTTTTAGTTAAAATGTGTATCGACCAAATGGCCTTTTTAAAGGGAAAAAAGACACATGCTTTGGCTTTAAATATATCCTAAAAAATCTCTTTACAAAGTCCAACACATGCTTGTATTTAAATACTACTATACCAAATCCCAGAGCAATTCCCACTTTTGTATCTCCACGACATGCTGCAGACCTTGAAGAATGTTTAGTTGGGATTAGCTGTGAGGCTCCTTATACTGCCCCTACGCTCCTGGTGGCATTAACTAACCCACTTACATTAAAATATTGCTTCTTGCTGCCTGAGTTCAGGGTTTAATTTGCTCTGGCATGCCATAAAAGATAAGCTTATACCTTTCCCCATAATTCAGTGTCCAATTACAGTCATGATGTAAACTGTTGAGCCGGCTCCCTCCCTGTGTGTCCACTACCTTGGCTTCTTCTGCTGCCAGACAGGACATATCCTCGAAGGCAGACGTAAAGAGATAAAGATCCTTGCTTCTGCGGTGCATCTCATATAGTGAACAAATACACTCTGCTGCCAGGGTTTCTGATAAAATGACATTGAGGTCTGGAGTCGGCTTTCCCTGAATTGCTCTGCTTTATGCTGTGTTTTAATACACTTAATGGAAAGGCAATGAAAGGAAGACACAAGAAAGATATAGGGGTGTGTCCTTTAAGTGCCCCCCCCCCCCCCAAATTGCCAATTGTTAACCTGCTAAAATTTGGGTAAAATACTGGCTGTCATCCCTGTCACTTTTCCCCAGTGCAGTTAGCAGACAGCAGAGGAAGGGCGTGACAATCCTACTGAGCAGCTGCCACATCCTACTTCTGCAAATCTTGAATGACTAAATAACAGTGAGCCTTATCTGCACTAGATGACATCTAGAACTAGCGCTGTATTAATATGAAAAATACTACTTAAAGAAATGTCAGCTAGAGTGAGTTAATTCCAACACATTACGTGATATTCTTTGTCATGGCAACCAACTCAATTATTTTCAGAAGAGAACCTGATGTTTTTGGCTCACCTTCAGATTTTTAGTTTCTTTAAATTCAGAAATATGTAGAATTCCGTCTTGATGCATGCTCAATCATCCAGGTAAGTAAATCCACAAAATTTGATTCAGTTCATCTGGACGTAGCGTTTTCAGTGGGAGAAACGTTTCAAGGAACTGACCTCACAGCCCATTGTTCCTTCAGTGGTGCTAGTTTAAGTGATACTGTTTATAAGACTGGGGAAACCTGCAGTCAGCTGAGACTGAAGAAGTCACTTGGGTGAGTGACGAAACGTTTCTCCCACTGAAAATGCTACGTCCAGATGAACAGAATCAACATTTGTGGATGTAGAATTTCATGCCTAACATCTCTCTCGCCCCATCACAGTTCACTTCAACCCATTGTTGCCAACTTAGTGACTTTGTCACTAGATTTTTTTGTTTTTTCAGCATCCTGCAAAAAAAAGTACTCAAAACCAAACACCCCCACCCAAAAAAACTTCAGGCGGTACTCCTTCGCGAACACTCTTGTTCTCCCGCTGCTGGCGCGGCTTTTTCACCATCTGCTCTGTTCAGCGAGTGACACCGAACAACAAGGTTTCAGCTAGTGACAGACAGCTGTGCAGCTTATGAGAGGAAAAAAACCAATCAAGTTGCATCTGTTTCTCTCAGTCATCATTTTACTTGTAAACGCAGACAAAAATCACAGCACAGCCATGATATCTAACTTTGGCTTTTGCAAGATGATGTTGAAGGGCGGCCGCTGAATTAAAAAAAATCCAAATTTTGCATTGAGGGATTGTTGCTCTTATTCAGTATTTTGGCTGTATGGACTGGCATTTTTGTCTCTTTACCTCGATGTATATTTACTTCTGTACTGTTATGCAATGTGTCATGCCATTGGTCCTCTAACAGTCATTATGCTTGTGATCTCTGCAGTGTTTGAGACATCTCTCAGTAAGTGCTCTCTGTTTGCTTTTCTTCTGTTTTCCCAGCCCCCTTCTCAAATGTTTTATTGCTAGAGGGCACTGGGCTCTAAAGAATGAGCTCATTTGGGGGCCTGGCATGTCATTCATTGATTCATGGTTAGCCCATGCTGCCCTGGCAATATATAACCTTCACTAACAGCTGACTTGCACAGGAAAATGGATGGGACCTTCCATATCTTTCTGTTTTAAGGGGAGAAAATAACATCCTATTCAGTCTGGTTGATCTATGGTGCTCCTTTTTAACACAAAATGGCCATTAAATGTTATGTGCACTATTCGTTCTCGTGTACATTGCTATATACACATATGCGCGCCATGTGTATTGTGAAGAGAAAAAGTTTACAACTCATTGAATTAACAACAGAATTTAAAAAAAAGACCCTTATGCAAAAGATGTTCCTTACCTGAGTAAGTAACAAAGCCTACAGTCTGAGCTTCTCTTAGATTATGTATGCAGACACGGATGTCTCTGTTTATTTTCTCAAAATCGGTGCGATCCCTCTGCTGAGCATGAGCTTCTCAACTATAAAAATCTAGAATGTGTGTAATATAATTTCTTGCCTTGCTGGCATTGTTACCCACGCAGTAATCGGTTGTTTAGGTGTGCATTCCTCGAGTCTCACATGTGACAGCTCTTCATTTGGATTTGGTTATAAGGAATTTGGAAATTTTGCTGCGTCAAAAACAAAACGAACAAAAAAGTGATGCCTCAGAAGAGAAGATATGGCAGTTCAGAGCCCAATGTGCTGGATGCAGATTTTTTATTTGAGTTCCAGGAGTGGCTTTTATTTCTACTGGGAAAGTCTGACAAAGCTTTCAAAGCCTGGCGATATTGTTTAGTGTCATACTTTTGATTCCTTCTCAACAATACTATTGTTTTTTTCCATGTAAAGTACATTTGACTAAATAGATTATATCTAAAGTGTCTTATCTTGCACCACTGAAACAAACCCCATTGCTATTGGTCTTGGTTTTCATTTGGCTTTAAATGAAACTTTTTGAAGAGAGAAAAAAAAGATTAGATATTTTAAAATCTATTTTCAAAGTGGCACTACTATAGAGAACAAACTATTGGATTCTCCAAGCTATAAAATGAGTCCGTTGTAGGATCACTGACCCTCTTTCATTTGCTTGTCTAGGTAACAGCTAGGTGCTAATAATCAAACAGAAGTTTAGGCACTGGAACATTGAGGTGGGTCATAGTAACACAATACCATGATGTTCCGATGCCAACAAATTCACTCCAAGGACATTTTGCAAAAAAACGCAAAAAAACTCTACAGGCCTCAGCTAGCATGTTAAATGTTAAAGTTCATGATTGTACAATTAGGGAAGGACTAAACAAGTATGGCGTGTTATGAAGCGTTGCCAGGCGAAAGTCTTGTCTCTCTAAAAAGAATATATTAGCATTTGTAAAGAAGATTAGGCTAATATCCCTTTGGATGAAGAGAAGATGTATGAAAGTCAAATAGAAAATAATTGCTTTAAGTTACTTGAAGTTGTTCTACAAGGTACTGAATCATGGGGTCTACTTGTTTTTTTTGTTTTTTTTTTACCAGGCTGGATGGAGTTCGGAGAAAAATCTTTCGCTTTCAAATGACTGTACATGTTTTTGATATATTGTGTATGCGAAACTGATTTTATTTTTTTGTATTTGCGGTGTAGTGCTGCATTAATACATCGCAGGCTGGCAGTAACACATCAAAAACAGCAGGATCGATGTCATAATCTCTCAGTTATTTTATGAGAAGTAACATTCACCATCTGTTCACGTGGCAGTGTTGGATATCGCTCAGTCAGTGACACGGGTGAATGACATCACTCTCTAAAGATCTAATCTGTGAACGTAGGTGCTATGGAAGGTTTCTTTTTTTCCTGTTAAATCAAGGCCCTGAAAAGAGCCGCGAGCCGATGTGAAAGATGTGCATGAAAGACTGCAGATGAGGGAGCGTGTTTTTATATCTTTGAGACATCTCCCAAAGTGGGGTGTGGAATGAAAGAAACTATTTTGTTTCTGAACATTTCCAAAGCCAGTCAAATGTGAGTGGGAGGAGTAGATATGTACTTCTTTTGAAGGAGGACTTATTAGTTAGTTATCGTGTCAGATCATTATATGCGATATTCCCAGCTGTACTTATTTCATATCAGTTCAGCTGAGGTTCAGTCTGCACCGCTTTTCG